GCTCAGGCTCAGGCCTCAGTTTTCCTCCAGCTTCGGCTCTTTGTGGTAAAAGTGCTGTTCACATTTCTTGTTGTGAGGCCAGGTGCTAGAAGCATCTGTGGTCCATCAGCTGTGGCTGCAGTGACTGCTCCCATATCAAGGAACAGCAACATGTGGTGGCAAAGAACGCAGGCCGTGGAGCTCGGCTGCCCTGGAACATTGGAATGTTGCTGAAACACACTGCATGGTGTATTGGTCTTCCAAAATATGTGTGTGTGTGTGTGTGTGTGTGCTGGTGCCATTTCTGACGCTGTTTCAGTAAGGCCTGGAGGGACTCTACCTCCGCATTTTCTGCTCCTGGACTTACAGCAGCTATAAAGATCCGGGAACAGGCCAGTTGTGATGGCACACGCCTTTAACCTCAGTGCAAGCAGATTTCTGTGAATTCCAGAGCAGCTAAGGGTACATACTTAAACTAGCTTTAAAAAAAAAAAAAAAAAAAGGCAGAGTTTGGGAAACAACACGGACTGTTTTGTGTTTCAGATCATTTCTCTCCAGAGAACGTGAATGACACAGCCAAGGAGACATGCCTGAATTGGTTTTTCAAGATCGCTTCCATCCGGGAACTCATTCCGAGATTGTATCCTTTTCTTGTCCTGTTTTAATGACAGGTAGGAAAAAGTAGTGCTGGTGACAGCAGCCATGGGATGAGCTGCCCTAAAGTTCCTGGTGATACCTGTTTCTGTTGAGGTCGGCTGCTGCACTAGAGAGATCCTTGCTTGGGATCTCACTCCTTCCTGATGGATCGCTTACTTGTCGCTTTGGTTACGATGCATGAGGCAGGCTTTTGTTTCTTTGAAGAACATTCATGTGTTATCCCTATTGAAGTACCTCATTTCAGAAAAGATTTACTATGTTTCTCTGTCTCTCTGTCTCTCTGTCTGTCTCTCTCTCTCTCTCTCTCTCTCTCTCTCTCTCTCTCTCTCTCTCTCTCTCTCTCTCCCCCTCTGTGTGTGTGTGTGTGTACATATGTATGTACACCTTTGTAGGCCAGAGGCATTGGATCTTCTGGAGCTGAGTTTACAGGTGGTTGTGAGCCACCCCGAGGATGCTAGGAACCTAACTCTTGGCTCTCCATCTTGCTGGCAGCCTGATGAGCCATCTTGAGGGTGCAGGTGCCCCTCTGCACCGGTACCTCATACGGAACTGTGGAGACTTTGACCTACACACACAGCATCTTAGTTATCTCAGGTCCACACACCCCTTGGGGCTTTGATCTGAAGGCTGAAAACTTGTTTTAAGTGTCACCACAAAGCCATGAACCAACAGGCAACGTTTCCAGAACTTAAATTTAAGTGCGGAGTTTGGAAAACCCCTGTAGAGAACATGGCAGCTGCCGACTCAGTTCTCTCCATTGTCAGGGGCCATCATGGCCTCCTTGTGCCTAAATGTTTTTGTTTCCCTTTTGGAATCACCTTTGTCTGACAGGGCACAGGCCATCTGGAACATGTCTTCCTTAATGGAACGTTTCTGCAGTTACGTGGAAGCATCCATCCTGAAGTGTAACAAATTCCTCTCCAAAACGTGAGGCCCCTCTTCGTCTGGATCTATAGAATTTCTGCAAAGCTCATACACATGTGCACAGGCAGAAGCACATGATAGCGGTGTGACGGTAGCAATGTACTGTTCATGAGTTTGTAGTATGTGACCCCATGCTCATCACCTGTGTGTTTTCTCCTCGTGGGGAAACTTGATAAAATGCAGATGGCAGTTTCATCCCTGTCTAATGAACAGAGAGGAAAGGAGTAAGGCTCCCAGGAGGTCAGTTCCACTTGCATTTGGCCTTGTGGGTCTCCAGTAAGTTATTTTGATCCTGAGCCTCAGTCCCCTGGACCTAATGAGGAGTTCATGTGGGCCCTGAACCATGCACATGTCACTGGGAGGTACAAGAGTGGCCCTGGCCGGCCCCATGCTGTGTGGGCTGCCGCTGTTGATGATGATGGTGAAGATGATGAGGGAGCAGGAGCCCTGGCTCGGGGGTGGGGGTGGAGGGGAAGAAGGCAGCAAGCTGCTGTGATTTCTCACAAATGTGATTCTGAGAGCCGTTCTCAGAGCTTGAGGAAGGCCCTTCCACAGGAAACTATTTAATATGGAGCTGGGGTGACTGGGATGGTTTATAGGTGCTAAAGAAATAGATATCTTTGCCTCCCCATTTGGGCAAGGATCACGTCTAAGAGGGAAGGGTGCATGTCACAGAAGTGAGTCCTAGGTCATGTCACGTTGATGGATTTGGGGGTAGCTGTCTCCTGTTAGCCTGAGGTGGTAGAAAGAGATAGGATACAGGACACTGAACCAGGGTTAAACAGTGGTCCATATAGACCCTTATAGATCAGGGGGCTAGCAGCTGATGGAAAACTAGGTTGGGGATGAAACTGTTAAAATAAGTTAAGTGTGGCTGGGTCAGTGGGTAGCACATGTCTGCAACCCCAACACTAGGACAGGAGGATTGAGAGTTTGAGGCCTGTGTGAGCTGTATAGTTAGACCCTGTCTCAAATACATCAGAGAAATAAATTCACAAAATAAGTCTGACTCAGACAGGGATATGTGTGGAGAAGCCTTAGTACATTGTATCCGCAGAGAAAAACTGGTTACACTGCCTTGGCGAACTGAAACTTTGACCTTGATTTGTTCTTAGGAGTTGTTTTCCTCCCTTACGTTTAGGATAATCCAGCTTTATCGTGGAAGTGAGGAACAGGGAGAATGTAACACTGCACTCCTCTCTCCCGCAGGGGGATTTCAGAGTGCCTGCCTCGACTAACCTGCATGATCAGAGGGATTGGGGACCCACTGGTGTCCGTGTACGCCAGGGCCTACCTGTGTCGGGTATGCTGAGCTCCCAGACCTGGCTGCCTGCCTCCTTAGCAGGCTCCTTCTCCAGCACCCCTCTGCTCTACTAGCTGCTGCCTGTAGGACACAGCTCTTCCAGAGATGAGAGCTGCAGGGCTGTTCGTAAAAGTTAATTTTGAAGTAGACCAACTTACCACAGTTCTAATTAGGGGACGTTTAAGGTCATCTTTACCCAAGTGAATTGGTTTTATGGATTAATTTTCTCCGTTTCAGCTGAGAAGGAGGCTCCAGGCCTCTTTCAGTCACTTGAGACAGGCTTTTCCCTGTGTTGAATTCTTTAGCTTTTGTGTGTGTGTGTGTGTGTGTGTGTATCTGTATCTGTCTGTCTGTTTGTCTCTCTGTCTCTGTGTGTGTCTGAAAAATGGAGAATGGATTAAAAAAAAAAAGCCAGGCTGTGGTGGCGCACACCTTTAATCCCAGCACTTGGGAGTCAGAGGCAGGCGGATTTCTGAGTTCGAGGCCAGCCTAGTCTACAGAGTGAGTTCCAGGACAGCCAGGACTATACAGAGAAACCCTGTCCAAAAAAAAAAAAAAAAAAAAAAAAAACCAAGGAAAGGAAGGGTCATGACTGTTCCTGGAAAAGGCTTAGTATAGCTATGTGGGAGACATAGCCAGAGGCAGGGACATCTGGGAGAATCCAGAGTGGACATGGCCCTGAGCCATGTCGGGAGAAGGCAGGAAAGGAGAGGGCAGAGAGGGGGACCAGGTACAGCAGCCAGGAGGACTGAAAGCACAAAGGGTAAGCCAAATGGTTGGATCATCTAGGGAAGAACAGTCCAGTCCCTGGGCTGAAGAGTTCAGGGTAGACGGCTGGGTGTGCCAGCCAGGAGGGCCCTGTAATTGGTAGGGTTGAGGGATGCTGGGAGAACCTGGCGTGAGGCCAGCTTCCAAGCTGCTGCTTTGGCTTGATGAGAAAAGATAAAAAAGAAACAAAAGCAGTGATTGGCTGAGCCTGAAGTTGTTTATAGGGGAGGTTGAGGAGCCCCTCTTCCAACTCTGGCTCCTTCAGCTCCTCTCCGCTGCCTGCCCACTAAGCCAGCCTTCCCTTCCCTTCCCTGTCACCTAATGTACTTATTAAGTGGAAGGGACGGCAACAGAGTCAGAACCAGTGGGACAGTTGTTAGCTAGGTGGTTGTCCTTGGACATACCCCAGCAGTCTGTGAGCTGCTCTGGGAATGTAACCCTCTGGTGAGTCTCACACAGTTCTGCCTAAAGGATGGTTGATATCCTTAGAATAGCATGCTTATTGTAACCACTGGGACCTGGTTACTGGGAGAACTCTGTTCCTGTTGAAGGAGCCCAGATAATAGCTTCCTATAGGAAGTCTTATCAGGTTTGAAACTGAATCTGAGAAGGGGAGCCTGGTGTAGGGTGTCCCAGTCCCCCGGGGCATTGAACTGGGTTCTGGAGGACCTGGAAGAGAGAACTGGAGGACAGGGGACACAAAGAACGGCGACCTGTCTATAGTCTGATCAGACGGCATTTTTAATTTTATCACACAGGGGTTATATACAAATAGACGCAGGAGTGTAGGTGTTCTCAGGGGAAGTACAGATATCTTCCAGAACAGGGTCTCGCTGGGTGAAGAAGCAGGGAACAGGTCAGTATGACTCTGTCTGTGATTCATTTGTTCATATCCAAGCTGGCACTTTCCACCAAGGCTACCTATCCACAAGGTCTGTGACTATATGTTCTTATCCAGGCTGGTAATTTTCCACTAAGGCTGCCTGTCTATAGCTATCTGTTCTAGGGTCAGTGTTTTCCCACATTGACTAAGACTTGGTTAGCAGGCATGTATAGCTGACTTGGGCCTATGGCTGATTTAGGCCTTCAGTGTATAAGCAAGGCTGCTCTCCTCCCTTCTCTCAGTATAAAGGGACCATGGCGATTTTAATCTTGCAAAGGCGGGGATAGAGGCCTGACCTCCAGTAATTAAAAGGGACATTGTAATGGCTCCGGTCCTCCTGTTGTTGTCTAGTGAGGCATGAGGGCCATACCCGTCCCGATGTCTTTTTCCTGGAGAGGGATACTTTTGACATCAACCCCTATGCAGTCAGGCTTGTCCTTCAGGGAACCCAGAGAGATATTTTAAATTTTTATTTATATTCCCTTGCAGTGCTTAGCCTTGCAGCCTAAGCAACAATTTAGATGCCAGTCAGAGGGGGTTCTGGGTGGCCCCTCTCTGCTTGGTCTAGGGGCAGAAGTCCCCTCTTTTAGGTTTGAGTGGAGATGAGTTTTGGGAACACCTTAGATGGAGTAACAACCTCGTCTTGAGTCTCATGGTCACTTACCTTCCAACTCCAGTGCTCTGACTCCCCATAAGGAAGTTCTTTTTAGCTAAAAGATTTAAAAATTTTCTCTTGTATTAAAAAATACTCTCTCCGGGCAGTGGTGGCACACACCTTTAATCCCAGGACTTGGGAGGCAGAGACAGGTGGATTTCTGAGTTCGAGGCCAGCCTGGTCTACAGAGTAAGTTCCAGGACAGCCAGGGCTACACAGAGAAACCCTGTCTCAACCCCTGCCCCACCCCCACCCCCCAAAAAAAAGAAAAGAAAAACAAAAACAAAAAAACCCCCACTCTCTTCTTTGCCTTATACATCTTGCCTCAAACTTTAAAACTCAGGCTGTTGTTTTAAGTACTGAATCCTGGAGCCAATGATCACTATGTAGCCTTGATTGGCCTGGAATTCTCTATGTAGACCAGGCTGACCAGGAACTCATAGAGACCCACCTACTCCTGCCTCCCAAGTGCTGAGATTTAAGCTATAGCTTGTGTGTGTGTGTGTGTGTGTGTGTGTGTGTGTGTGTGTGTGTGTG